TCCTGTTTAATGGCTTTTAATTCTTTATTTATCTTGCGTTAAATGGGGAAATATCATAAATTCATATTCACTAATGTTTGTGGGGACCACAATTATTATTTTATTAAGAATATCTATCCAATTCTTTATTGTTAACTTAATTTTTTTTTTTCAGAACAGTCAGAAATGAACTCAATTATAATCATTTGAACCAATGAATACACAACAATTATGGTACAACCTCATATATTTTTTCAAATCAACAATATGAAATTGTTTCTAAATTGTAGGTAAAATGGACTATTGATATTTTAGAAATGATTTTATATTGTTGATTTGAAGAAATGCCATTGAAGTAGTATCAACGCAAGACTAATAAAGCATAAAAAACCATCAGGTAGGAATACAAGGCGATGTGTTCTTAGAGATAGCAAAGGCAACACAATAAGTCTAATGGACACTTCTTAGATAATAAATATGATGCATGTACATCTCTTTGGCCGCTCTAATGTGAAAGATCATCCTAGACCCTTACAACTTGAAGGAGAGAATATCCTTGATTCCTTGGAGATGTCACCAACAAGATTGCCCAAATGCTCAACCCAACCCTTGGTTAGCCATTTTACAAATAAACTCCAAGTAGTAACTCAAAATGGAGTTTTTAAAATATGGAAGAAGGTTCTTGACCCCTTGGCTAGAATTTAACATAGAGAAGTTCAATATTCCACTTGACAAATGTCCCCTAACTAGTGTAAGAAATGCCTATATAGTGACATGGATCGAGAATTTTCCTGAATGATGGAAAATAAACTCATCCTCACTCAAGACTAATGGAGCATCATGTCAGTATTGCTGCAGTTTTGGTATCTTGATCATATCTATCACATACGATGTTGGGATGAAGTATTTCAAGATTGGAACATCTACTCCAAATTGTTTAATATTATACACAATGATCAGTTATTTAGCCTAGTGAAGTGCAGAGTATAATATCGGGCGGAGTACTGAAGTGATGACACTCTTTCTCTAATGTGATCATTTTCGTATCATTCTTTTGCTTGCATTAACTCTAGGTTTCGTAATGATTGGTCTTATGCATCTTGAATAGGTTGCTGAAGTTGAGGAAAAAACTTCGGGAGGCTTGTTGCTGAGTGCAGCAAGCAAGGAGAAGCCTTCCATTGGCACGGTAAGAAGTTTGCTCGAGCACGTCTCTTTCATTTCACACTAAACATCCTCAGCTCCTGAGGCTGGATCTCCATTCTTAGCTTTCGCCTTGCTTGAAATAACAGGTTCTGGCTGTCGGGCCTGGTCCTCTCGATGAAGAAGGGAACAGGAAATCTTTATCAGTTTCTACGGGAAGCACTATCCTCTTTTCCAAGTATGCTGGGAATGAGTTTAAAGGTGTTGATGGTTCGGATTACATTGTTTTGAGGGTGTCTGATGTAATCGCGGTGCTTTCTTAGTTCCCGAGCTTCCATGCACCACTACTTTTCTTAGGGGCTTTTGGGTGGGTGAGGAAAATGCTGTAATCTTGCTTTTATGGTATTCATTCATGCAGAATGAAATAGCCATCTTGAAAAAAAAAATTTGTAATTTGTGTTTTCTGCGGTTAATTGACTCAGTCCATAACTGAAACAGGATTTTGAAGGCTCCATCTAGCATGGTGGAAACTACAGCACCTGAAATGCACTATTACAAATTGTTTAAATGTTGGGTTTCAAGTTTTGTGACAATATTAGTGAAGAAAAATTTTAGTTTCATTTATTTTTATTTTTAATGATGAAGAAATTTGCAGTCACTATTCGGGAGTGTGCATTAAGTAAATTTTATTTGCATGTAATAATCAGATAAGAATTTTCAATTGTGCGGTATTGAGATGATGTTGACAAGAATTGAAAATTCTTATCTGATTATTTACTGATGGGCAAATTATTGTATGGACCATGGTCCACACAATGTTATGTGGACCGCAACAAAAAGTACATTTTTAATATATTAAATGTACATTATTTTTGTACTGTATATACATTATACAATATAATGTACACTCAGTACAAAAATAATGTACATCCCCTGAATACAATGTACATTATTTTTGTATTGAATGTACATTATTTTTGTATAAATGTACATTATTGACAATATACAAAATATGGTCCATACAATTTGTGTGGACCATAATGATGCATATTGGTCATTTATACTTTGGAATTTGAGATTTTGCATAAAAAGTAAGAATACAGCTTTGATATCAACTTGTCAACAAGAGAACTAAAACTGGATGTGCTATGAAGTATTTGAAACACAAAAGTGCTCACCTTTAAAAAAATTTATGCACATGAATTACTATTTGATTTGACAATTTTTGTAAATGGGTTCATTAACCAATATAATTTATGACATGATAAATTTAAACACGAATTTTAAATTCAATAAAATAACATCTAAAAATCATAATTAATGTTAGACTTAATAAGTTAAATGAGTCATTAATGGGTTACACGAGTTAAGTGAGTTGACATACATATTAAGATACAAAATTTAACATTGAGTCAACTCACTAATGACCCAAGATCTATTTAACACTAACCCCTTATTTTCATATTAAATTTCGTGTTGTGTTAATTTAACCGTATTTGCACACCCAATGCTTTACAAATTACAAGTATGAATTATATCATGGATCAGAGTCCACCATGTGTATTATAGGTCTTAGTCCAGATTATATACTCACTGTTAACATATTATGTACATTCAATTATCATGTATTTATTATAAGTTCATAAAATGTGAGTACATAACATCATAACTGCATGCTTATAATATAGACTAGGATTCACAACACGTATTGTGAACTCCCGTTCACGTCTTCACCTTTTGGGATGGGGGCCCTTAGAGTTAGGGATTCAACCTTTTGGGAAGAACGATATAAAAATTGTTATACAAGTGGTGAGATCATGGATTGAATTTGGGCTGCAATTTAAAGTCAATTGCATAAACATGCAGTTGTTATACCATGGACTAGGATCCACCTTGTAAAGTGGGGCAAATTATGTTATGCAATCGTGTGCACCATGCATGGTGCTCACGGTTGCAAAACGGCGTCGTTTTGATTAAAAACGCCGCCGCCCGACTTTAAAATAAAAATCATTTTCGATTGCCGTTAATGAAGTTATGTTATGCATAATTTGAACTATATATCCAGAATTAGTGAATTATATATCCACACCGGTTACTGGTACTCTGTTTTGGCTTATGGCAGTTCGCTGCGTCTGTGTATTCAGAATGAATGAACTATATATTCAGAACTAATGAACTATAAATTCAGAATAGTGAACTATATATTTAGAATTACTGAACTATATATCCATAATTAGTGAACCATATATTCAGAATTAGTGAACTATATATCCATAATTAGTGAACTATATATCCACACCGGTTACTGACTTACTGGTACTCTGTTTTGGCTTATGACAAATTGGAGTTTAAATTACTCCACCATAGGGAACGGTTGCACAACATAACGATTGGTCAAGTGATCCTTGGACTTAAATTGTGTATTTTTATTATTGGAATTGTGATTTGTGAACATCTAAAATATAAATTATGTTTCTAAGTTTTGAGAATTTATGAATACAATACAGAATCATCACAAATTATGAATCTTTAAAAGGTAAATTATAAACATTTAGGGGTCGTTTGGTTCACGGAATGTTAGATTACCTTAGGAAATGTTAGATTGCTGGGAATGTTAAATTCCTGTGTTTGGTTAAAATTGGGGTATGTAATATAATCCTGTTTGGTTTAGGGTTATCTTTTATACACAGTATAATATCCTTAACATATTTTCATATATTTTAATATATTTAAAAATTAAAATAAATAAATAAGATAACGGTATCATATATAATTACATGATTTTAAAATATTAACTAAAATCTTAAACTTGAGAAACAAAATTATTTTATATGCTAACATAACATAATAAAAAAAATATATAATTACAAAAATAATTATAATTATATATATATATATATATATATATATATATATATAATAAACTAACATAACAAGGTTATTTTACATTACCTAAGCGGATAGTTATGCTGTGGGCTCGTGCCCAGCGTGCTTCATGGGCACGGATAACGGTGCCGTCAGGCACCGTTATCTTCCCTTTTTTTTTTTTTTTTTAAAATTTAATTTCAGATCGCTTTGTTATAGGAGCATATATTCACAGCTTTGTGTTCATAATTTCATAACTGTACATTCATAATTTCATAACTGTACATTCATAATTCTATAACTGTACATTCATAATTCCGTAACTGTACATTCATAATTCAATAACTGTAAATTCATAATTTTCGAAGCTCTATGTTCATAATTGTAAGTTCATAATGTCAGAGTTCTATGTTCATAATTTCATAACTGTACATTCATAATTTCATAACTGTACATTCATAATTCCATAACTGTACATTCATAATTCCATACTGTATATTCATAATTCCATACCGAACATTCATAATTTTCGAAGCTCTATGTTCATAATTGTAAGTTCATAATTTCATAACTATACATTCATAATTCTATAACTGTATATTCATAATGTCATAACTGTATATTCATAATTTCATAACGAATATGCCGTTAACGCCGTTAACGGCGTTTCGAACAATTTTTCTTTTTTTTTTAGTTAAAACAGCGTCGTTTTCACGGAAAACGACGCCGTTTTAGCGCCGTGCGCACCTTGCGCACGTGCGCATAGCATAATTTGCCACCTAAGTCCTATGTAGAGGGAATGTGATATTCCTTAGAAATGTTAGATTCCTTAAGATAATATGAACCAAACTGAGCTTTGGAATGTCATATTCCTTTGATTATGTTATATAACCAGAACCAAACACCCCCTTAGTATGTAATTGTGTATCTTTGAATTCGGGTCCACCTTTGTCACAGAATAATTTGCCATAAACGGGCCTGGAGTCGGTTGTGCAGCGTTGAAACTTGAAAGGAGGTTATGCCACGTAGATTTCCATTGTTATTTGCTAGTTATCCAAATCTGTCTGCCAAATTTGGGATCAGCACCTCCATTTTCCACTCTATATCCAGGTTTAACTGCAGCAAATATAATCGCCGGAAAATATTTTTATTAGGCTTTTCCGATATGATTTGAAAATGAGCTAAATTGAATTTCATTTTGTGTTTTTCAGATGGAATCGAGAGATGAAGTCGCCGAGATCGACCGGCTAGAAAGGGGTTTGCTAGTGAACCACGTCTCAGATGAAGGATACGAATCCTCCGCCGATGACGAGGAGGAGGACGAAGACAATGAGCCGGCCGTCTACACGGCGTCGTTTAAGGAAGCGGAGGAGAATTTCGTCAAGTATCAGACAGCTCAGTGGGTGTTATATTCGTTACTTCTGATATTGGCTTGGGGTATAGGGCTTTTCATGCTGCTTTATTTGCCTTTTCGGAGGTACATTTCGCGGAAAGATATTCGGTCCAGGAGGCTCTTTCTCACTTCCAATGCCATTGTTTTCAAAGTAATTGTTCCTTAATTACTTTTCATAATCTCAATTTTCCTTTCAATTTGTTCCAGTAGTCATTGTTGTTTGGATATGGAATTCTGTATGCGGATGTGTTGCATGTTCAATTAGATGGAGGGATGCATATTTTTGATATGAGACTAAATTAAGGCTTCTATGTGACTGTTAATGGACAAATTTTTTGTGTTTGAAATGAAACGATTGTGTAAGCTTAACAACATCATTTGTATGAGTAGTTTGTTGAATTTAGAAGATGAAATGGCCTGGCGAGTGGAGAATAACAGAAGAAGAATGAAGAATTAGGAATGAGAAAATATATATAAAAGTGAAAGGTTACAATATATTCTATATTATCTGTTGTTATAGTACATATATATACAAACACATAACTGTAAGTATCTAACTTTTTATTTTTCAACATACTTCAATAAATTGACGGTACACATTTATCTCGATGGATGTTAGGTTCTCATGTTTTGTGAAAGAAACTAAGATTTGGGCTTTACAAAATGACACCTGGTGTTAATGCTGTGTTTTCTTGACCAGGTAACAAGACAAGTTCCATTTCCGTGTTTCGGGGTTCTGAAAAGGGAGAAATATGTTTTATTGCATTCAGTTGCTGACATTGTTGTTGAACAAGGTACAATGACCGTATAAGTGAATTATTCCATGCAAAGATGCTGGATTTCTGTTTATCACAGCTTTATTTATTCGATAATTTGCTCGAGTATTACTGCTCCTGAATACCTCAAAAGCTTGGATGGTAACCTTTTATTAATCTTAAAAAAAAAAATTTGTCAGGGTATCTGCAGTCCTTGTTTGGGGTTTATTCTATCAGAATTGAAAATGTTGGTGTAAGAAGGCCCCCGAACGACGATCTTAAAATCCATGGGGTTGCAAATCCTTGTGCTTTTAAGAAGGCATGCTTTATTTCTAATTTGGTCTTATCTTTTTACACTAAGTAATACTTTTTGTAGACTATTTGCAGGTTCAAACTGTTGTAATATCCAAGTGGTGTTATTACGTGACCAATGAATAATTTTTTTCAGGCTGTTATGATGCAACTATCCAAAACTAAAAGCAAGGCATTCTCTAGGCAGGTTTCGAATGCTGCTTTGGTATGTTGTGACTAACAAAAACACCGCATATTATTTCTTTCTCTTAGCTTTTCACTAACTGACTTTTATGAGTGACAGATGTCCCCATCGAAATCAAGGAGGCATGATAATTTGTCTCGTGCTGGGGAGCTTGCAATTTTACAGAAACTTGAAGAAGTGGGTGGTTCTGTCAAGGTGAGAGCTAAATCACTAATGGACTAAATAACTTGATTTTACTCGCTCTTGATCTAATAATGAAACACCTGGTATTTTATTCAGAGAGTTCAAAATTTGATCGAAGACCAACGCGTTCAAAGGTTGGATGCTACTAATTGAGGTCAGCCAACTACGTGCAAAAAGTTGTGTGCTTGGCTCATGTTGGTTTTATTGAACACTTCTAATTCCCTATATCTTGGTCCTGTTGCATTCGTGGAAAGACCAAAAGGCACCCAGATTCACCATGCAACTTGAGGTTTTTTTTTATCCCACCGTGAGCCATAGCCATATCAAGTTGGCTTTAGTAACAGAGCAAAGTTTATTCTAAGCACATCCGAAGTTAGCTTAAAAAATGTGTTTCCTTTGGATTTCATGGACAAATTATGTTCTTTAGGGAGAACTTAAAAATTTTCTTGGGTATCATGTTATTGGCTTTTACAACGTGAAATTTGGAATGTATATATCTTTTTGTTTTAATATCATTCATTTTTTTTTTATTTGTGGTTAATATAGTTTGTAACAAAAATATTGTTATCTATAGATTTTTTTTTTTTTTTTTTTTTTTTTTTTTTTTTTTATGAGGCAGATTTTGTCTGCTTTGGACAATATTCATAAAAAAAAATTAGAAATTCATTTTGTCTTACATCCTAGTAATGTTCTGAACAAACCAACCAATCAATATGTATCTGAACAAATCGGTATGTATCTGAACAAAAAGACTGAAACTGGAAACCAGCTAACGCTAAGAATCCATTGCAGCAAAGTTTAATTTGTGTAATTTGAGAATCCCATCAAGTCCCTATGTCGTTCTCCCAATTCTTCTTGGCTGCTTTGATCACAGCTCCCAAGTCAGTGGGGAGGAACTCCAGGACCAGCACAGAGTCCTCGTCCTGGCTCCAAGAACTCATGCATTACGACAACGTTTGGGCAGTTCTAGAGGGTCTGCAGGGCGCTGAGGGCCGGCAAGTAATCATGGATTTCCTTCAAGGTGACGGTGAGTAAGTCGGATCGACAACGGTCTCGATACACGTCTGACGCGCCAGACCCGACTCGTTCGAAGATCTCGTATTTGGACGTGACGTGATTGATTTCTTTACAAGTGTGGATGCTTGATGACGGAGAAGTAGATCTTGCAGCTTAGAGAAGCTTCTTTTTGCTGTCTTCCTTCTCCCTCTACCTCTAAGTAAGCATTTTTTGGACCAAAAGCCACAGATGAGTGGCGGTGCTCACGACGGTGACAACAACTTCTCTCTCTTTTTTGTTTCGTTATAAGTGGCGGTGGTCCTCGTCGACTGATGCAATTTTTTGTATTTAGCTGCTAAGCGTGGCTGATTACGCTATATTTTAGTTTGTAATAGATGGTCATATTTGACACTTCTACCTAAATGTTATTAAGATGAAAGTCCTAATCTAATGGCTAGAAGTATATTTTGTGTGCTGAATTGGGATTAATGTTGGATCATCTATTAGATTTTGGTTACCAATACTTTGACTTCCTAATGAATTGTTCAACCATTTTTAGTGCTTAATTTGATATGACCAAGAAAATGAGTAATGCAAGAATCTTGCAAAGAAGCTTAATAAAGCACTTGAAAACTAGGTAAAGAAATTGGATTGTTTGAACTCTTGGATGATTACAAATTAGGTCCTTAAAGGATTATTTATATCCATTCTACTTCCTCAATGAATGGTAGAGATCTACTTAATCCTACAGTTAATATTTACTCTCTAAAATTCTCCCAAAACCTATACAAAATTAAGGATTCTAAGGTTTTAGAATATTCTAATCATCTCTAGAACCTCTACTTGAGATTAATGAATGATATATTACACATTGAATGCACAGAGGTTTACAGTGTTATTTATTCACAAAGGATCCGCAGAAAAGTAGATAACAACCACAGAATAAGCTCTAACCAAACTTAATTATCTAACTGCCTAATAGTTGATATGTACATGTCTCTAAACTATTGTACAAACTATGAATGTTATGTATATGTGCAAGAAAGCTTTAGAGCGATATAGCAAACTTAGAATCTCGGAAAGCTGTACGAGCGATACAGTATACTCCTTATCCCCTGAGAAAGGAATAGAAAAATCTTTCAATTTTCATTCCAGTAGGAAATTGTCAGAGACAGAATTTCTACCCGTACTAGACAATCTTATAATCAAACAAATAATTTAGTATAATTTTTAATATTTAAATAAAAACTGTAAATATTAAATTCTTAATTTAAACTATTAAATTTAAATATTAATCTGGTACTTAAATATTTAATTCTTCATAATTTCATATTATATATAATGTACCGAGATAGGGCAATGCGATGAAGGGTAGGTATCCTCGTCCTTGGTGGGGAATGGATACAACTCCATGTCCGCCGTCTTATCTCCATTCTCCAAAGTTTAGTCCCCGTCCGTGTTGGAGCATATATTAAATCCAACAGGGTCAGAGAAAAATTGTCATGCTTAATACATGACAGTGTGCCTCTTTATATATGGAATATGGACATAACAAATGTTGCATCTACTAGGCAAATTAAACCTACAAATGCCACATTGTCATTAATGATATGCAAGAAATGATCTTTCTTATGTCATTCAAATTTTATATTTTCTATCGCCACTAATAAATCACTTCATAATTCGAGATTATATTTTTATAAGCTTTATTAGAATACAACACTTGATTATAATAATAAATCGTTCGAAACCCAACGTCTCACCTAAACTAATCACAATTATATTCCTACCTTGTACAATTGCTCTTGCACATGGAGTGGTGGATAAATTCTTGAAATTCATTTATGATCTTTGGAGAGGATCATAATGTGCCAAGCGTGCAAGCCATGAATGAATGTGAAAAACATGGAATGTAATTGCCCATTTTCCTGCATGTGAATCTCCGATAAGTACAACTACTTTTGTACCAAATAACCTTATTATATAGTGATCTATTAACAATGTTAAAGTCGTTCCTCTTTCTTTGATTTAAGGAGCAGAATATGAGTTCTTAATATGAACCTAACAAATTTATATCATAGGTGATTAAAGTGAAGTAATAATTATTATATATGAGAATTCGCTTCCTAGGTTGCATAGAAATTGAAAATAAAAAATAGAAAACGCATGATACGAAATGTATAAGAAAAATATAAATATAAACACATATATAATAGTGTGTATTTACAATTTTTTTTATATGCATAAATATTAATTGTTTAGTGGTTTCTTTTAAAAAATGTATTTTTAATTTTTTTTTAAGTTTAAAAAAATAACTTTGAAATATTTTATGAAGTTTCCTTAAATTTGTGATTTGAAGTATTTTTGAAATGTAAAAGTGCTAATCTATTGGGTATACTCCATAACATTTTGTAACTTAAACACCAATAATATCAAAGTATATTTTGTGATCTAAACATAATCTTTCTTAATGAGTTTCATACGAGGGTACTACTATAGTAGTTGTCTGAATATTGGAAGTACTTCGAGCAAATTAATAATAAATGGTAATGGTACGATTTGGCCTTTTCGAGATAAAATTCATAGAAATATATGATACAATAATATGAATTGTTAGTATGAAATTCGTATTTCACTCTTTTTTTTTTCTTTTTTTTTTTTAGAATAATAATAACCATTTAATTAATCATCAGAAGCAAGAACATCAAGAAGGGAAGTAGGGGGAACAGTCCACCACTCCCTACAATCGGCTATGATCAAGGCCTCCTTCGCTAACACATGGGCAGCCATGTTCGTGGATCGTTTAGTAAATACACTCACTTAACCATCCCTTTTGAAGTTGTGTATAAGCTAATATATGATACAATAATATGAATCGTCGGTATGAAAATCGTATTTCACACACTTAATCATTCATTTCGAGATTGTGTATAATAAGTTAATATATGATACAATAATATGAACCATTAGTATGAGAATCATGCTTCATCCACTCAATCGAGGTGAATCATGCTTCACACACTTAATCACCCCTTTTAAGGTTGTGTATGAGCTAATATATGATACAAAAAATGAACTGTTGGTATGAGAATCATGTTTCATCCACTTAACCACCCCTTTCAAGCTTATATATATAAGCTAATATATGATGCGATGCATAATATGAACCGTTGGTTTGAGAACCATGCTTTATCCATTCAATTACCTCTTTCGAATTTGTGTATAAGCTTTCACAGAAGCAAGACTTTTGCTCATTGCACCTAAGGAGCCCTCTCACTTGAGAGATTGCTCTCATACTGCTGTGAGACTCGATCATTGATTTATTGTGACAAATTTCACCTCAATTTGTGACCAATTGAGCAGCTGGGTGGTGGCTATTGATATTTGTTAATTAAGTATATAATAACGTGATTGTTCGCCGTTTTGTTTGCAGTTTTTTAATAATAATAATAATAATAATAATAAGGTTTTGAAGAATATATATTCGAATATCCGATCTACATATATGGACAACAACAAATACAAATGGTGTATGATTATTTTAAGGATGAGTATATCTTTGTCCTGTGCATCCTCAACTTGTGGGTTCAGAAAAAAAATAAAAAAAAAAAAAATTCAATCCCACGACATTTCAAGTTTAAATTAGTTTGATTTTATATAAAATTAACCTTCTTAACCAAAATGAGTTTAACTCAGAATGCACCCATATATAGTGGTTATGAATTTGTTTGTATATTTAATCCAATTAATTAATATTAGTGATATATATATAGTGGAGGACGTTCCATCTCTGCTAGCTTGTGGGTTTTGTTATTCTTGGTCAGCTACTCATATATATGTTGCATGACTTGCATCCTTGTATATATGCTGTACACATTCAAAACATCTACCATTATTATTATTATTATTATTATTATTATTATTATTGTTATTTCATTTGTGTTGACATCATCAACAACCTTAAGGTTGCCAACTTGGTTGCTTTCACCTTTTGTTTTCGACAAAAAAAAAAAAAAAAAAAAAAGACTTTTATTCGTCTTTAGCCTGAAAAACAAAGAACTAACTTCTCCTTGTCTCTTCATTTGTAACTAGAAAGATGAAAAAATATCGTTATTTAATATAAATGCAAAATAGTCAAGTAAATAAGGGTGATCAGTAATTAAAATGTACAACTAATCATTTTAGTTGGATTTATAACTAAAAATTCTCAACCTACTAAAATACAAAGAGTCGATGCTGCATCCATTGAGATTCAAACTCACTACCTCTCATATGGAAGTGCAACCTTTGTGCTATTAGATCACAAGATCTTAGCACTAGCCATTTTAATTGATTGTACGAATTTAACTTATTTAGAAAGTTAATTACATTTTATTTAATGTTGAGTGATTTAATTGTATTTTTACATGTAATTCAGTATCATATTTAACCATTTTAATTCAAAAGAAATAAATAAATATATATATATATATTAGCTGCCAATATTGTTTAAATTATTTTTAAATATAAGTTTGATTCG